AAAAACAGGGGGATGCCCGGAGATGAAGACGCACGGGGAAAGGGGGGCAGAGACGTGCACTCGGAGACGGAGAGGCAGAGAGCGCTGAGAGACATGCAGAGACAGAGAGGACAGGACTAATGGGGGGGTCAGGAAAGGCTTCCCGCAGGGGGCGGGACCTCGGCTGAGCCAAGAAGAGACCACCCAGCCCAACACCTTCACTGCTGGGGCTCCGAGAGCACCGAGGGGCAGGCATTAATGAGGCGCCTACTGCATGCGAGGCTTCGGGAAGGCTAAGACAACGAGCCGGGCGGCCGCCACGGTCCCTCTTCCTCCCCCCGCTTCCCGCCGGTCCCCTGGCCCCCCGGCCGGCCCGGGCGCCCTCACCTCCCGTCCGCCGCCGCTGCCATGTCCCGCCGCCAGGTTCAAACGGCCGGCAGCGTGCCCCGCCCCATCACGAGCGCCTCCGTCAGCGCGTCGGCTGTCGCGGCCAACCGTCCGACCCCCGTGTATTCCTCCGCCGGCCCCCCGTGCGCCTGCGCAGTCCGTGGAGTCCGCTCCGCGGCCGCGAGGACTTCTTCGCCTTCTCGGCGGAGTGATCCTTTGGCGAGTTTACCTGAGAGAAGACTATTCCCGCCGGCTGAAGACACTCCTTTCGGTTGGCTCCCGCGATTTCGAAAAGTAGCCTTCGGACCAATCACGATCGGATGCCGGGGTTCGATAGTAGCCAATAGGCAATTCCGGACGGGCGGCGCTTCCGCGATTGGTGGGCCGAGGGGAGAGAGAGGCGGGACAGTGGGGCTCTCCGTGGAGCGGGTTGCTGTTCCTCCTCCTCGGGCACCCTGGCTTCCCTCGCACTGCTTCGCCATTGGACGGACGCTGGAGCCGTCACGCTCCGGGTTCCCGCCCCGAGCCTGCCTCAGCTTCCGATTGGACCTTTTCTTCGTCCCACTTAAGCCTCTTCCCTCTGTCACGTTAAATTCGGGCCCACCCTCTCCTCCTCGCGATTGGGTGAGCGGCCTCCAGCCCTGCTCCGTGATTGGTCTGGGTCGCTGCCAGTCTCTCTGAGGGCGGGGTGAGGGGGAAAGGCCAGGAACGGGCGGAGTAGTGGGGTGTGGAGAGTGGGAGGGGACGGCTCTCGGGGGGTGTGTGTGTGTGTGTGTGTGTGTGTGTGTGCTGGGGTCTGGGGCGGAAGGACCCCCCCCAGGGAGGCGGGTCAGACTGAGGGCTGCCTCTGGGTCCCGGGTGGGTGGCGGGGGGGAGGGGGAAGGCGGGGGGGTGGCGGCTCCCTCGGGACCCCGCGCGGGCAGCGCGATGAGGCGGGTCACCCTGTTCCTGAACGGCAGCCCCAAGAACGGCAAGGTGAGGGGGGAGGGGCGGGGAGGGAGGGGGAGGGGCTACGGGGGAGGGGGAGGGGCCCCGGGGGGCCGGAGTAGGCAGCGGACCCCGGAGTCCAGGTGTTTGGCAGGTGTGGGGCAGGGCGTCAGGACCCCCGCCCTGGAGCGCCCCGCAAAGTCCTCCATCTGCATTTATCCCCTCCTGGGGATTTCCTGGTGGCCGGGAACACCCATCGTGGCTGCTCCCTCCACTGATGCAGCTAACCCCCTTATCACTGCGGAGCCCCTGTATTTTACAGATCGGGAAACTGAGGCTTACATAGGATCATAGCGGTAGTGCTGGAAAGGACCTTAGAGATCACCTAGCCTAATTATCCCGTCATTTTACTGATGAGGAAACTGAGGCGCGGGAGGGGGAGGGGAGGGGAAGTGACTTGGCAAGGTCAAGGTAGTGTAAATAGGACCCTAGGGTCGCAGATGTAAGACTGGAAGGGGTCTCAGAGACCATTGTAGCCCACCCCCCTCATTTTACAGATGAGGAAACTGAGGCCCAGGGAGATTTGTTGGGAGATTACCCAACAAATATAAACTCTTCTGGCATTTAAAAACCCTTCCCAAAATGTCTCAAACCTACTTTTCCAGGCATATTACATGTAAGTCCTTTTCTCCTGTTCCGTGGTTCCTACTCCGTCCCTCTTAGGGTCGTAGATGTTGAACTGCAAGGCACTCATCTAGTCAGAGGGTAGAGTCCAGTCCCTTCTGGTCTAATCTGCTCCCTCTCCCCCCCCTTCCCCATTTGGTTGGGTAAGGACACTGAGATCCAGGCAGGTTAAGCGATTTCTTCCCTTCTCATTGCCCTGCTTCTTATCTCTGGGCCTTTGCATTGACCATCCTCCACCTCCAAAATGCCCTCTCACCTCATTTCTTAGAAACTGTCTTCCTTTAAGACTTGACTGAAGGAGCCACCAGTTCTGTCTTGGTTTTTCCTTATTCCTCCCACTTCTTCCTCCAAAGTCACCTTTTTTGTATGTTACTGTATATTAGATATTTACATACACATACATACCTATACACATATTATCTTCCCTTTTCTGTAATTTAAAGAATTGTCTGGGGCCTTGGAAGATTAAAAGACTTCTCCTGGGATGGCTGATACTTTGTGCCTGACGGGTGATACAAAGACAAAAAATAGAAACATCTCTAGCTTAAGGAGCTTCTCTTCTTCTGTGGAAACAATGAATCCACTTTTAAGCATTTCCAAAGTAAAGGAAAAGTCTTGGGGGAGGGGAGGGAGGGTGTGGCTCAGAGGAAAGGGAGGCCTGTAACTGTGCTTGAATTCCCTGAAGAGGTTGAGAGCCAGAGAGAAATAATAAGTACTGTAACTTGACCAGGGTGACTAAGGGGGTAACAAAGAACCAGCATCCTTGGACCCACATATTCTGATTCCCAGTCCCGGTAATCCACTCTTTCTACTCTATGGAGCAACCACCTGGCTCTTCTTAATTCCCATGTTCAAAGCTAATTAGTGGCCTGAGTTCGTACTTAAATGAGGTAAGACAGGATCTCAAATCCAGACTCAGACACTGCTTAGTTGTGGATCACTGGAAAGATTTCTCGATTTGGAGTCACATGGGTTAAATCCTGCCTCTGTCACTACTTCTGTTGTTCTTTAGTCATTAGTCATGTCTGACTCTTCTTGACCCCATTTGGAGTTTTCTTGGCAAAGATACTGGAGTGGTTTGCCATTTCTTTCTCCAGTTCATTTTACAGATGAGGAGACTGAGGCAAACAGGGCTAAGTGACTTGCCCAGTAGTTAAGTGTCTGGGGCTGGATTTGAACTCAGGTCCTCTTGACTTGAGGCCCAGTGCTTTATCCACTGCACCACTGAACTGGTCTTTGGCAAATCATTTCACCTGCACCTAAAAAATTATGGCTTTGGACTTAAATGAACTTCTAAGGCCCCTAGATTCATGAGCCTAATTTTAATCATTTCACCTTTCATGTTCCTGATCTGTAAAACATTGGTATTATTTGTGTTGAGAGTTTTAAGTAGAGGCTAGTGCCCTCAGTGTTAGAAAGATCTAGATTTCAGTTTCTTCCAAAAATCAGTCTGTAGGCTCTGGGCAAATCACTAACTTTCTCAGTGCCCTCTGGGAACTCTCAGTCTGCAGTAGCTAATCTGCACTGGGGGATGGACTTTTCTCTCGTTATTATATTCCCTGCTGCAACAAAATCACAAGTCTGGACCAAGGAGATCCACCTGCCTTTTAACAACTCTGTAAACCTTACAAGCCCTATGCAGACGTGACCTGGGATGACTGGCATCCTGTGCGGAAGGGTTACAATTGGGAGTATAGCCTTCTAGCTGGAAGGCAGGGAGAGGGAAGGGAAGAAACATGTCTATAGTACCCACTATGTGCCAGGCACTGGCTCCTCACAAACACCTTGGGAGATATGTGCTGTTATATCCCCATTTTATGGATGTGAAAACTGAAATAGAGAGAGGTGAAGTTACTTGCCCAGGATCACACAGCCAGTAAATGTCTGAGCTGGATTTGAATTTAGGTCTTGCTCACTCCAAGTCCAGAGCTCCATGCACTGTGTCGCCAGCTGCCTTTCAGGGATGTTAGGTGTCCTGTAGTTCAAACTTTGCTTTTGCAGCTGGAAGAACTGAGTCTCAGAGAGGTGAAGTGACTTGCTGAGCGTCACACAGGTAGTTCTGGTTGCAGAGCCAGGATTCTGAGCCCCAATTCAGTGTTCTTTCCAGCTTATTATTGGGAGATGGGCTTGTAGAAGGCCATGGAGGCACAAGGGATTCTCAAGAAGAGGGAAGGCTGGCTGTGAAGAGCCTAGTGGATCAAAGTCTCGGGGCCATCAGATGTAGATGAGCTTACTGATCAGCTAGGGTTAGGGTTTCCAGCATTTACCTGTCACTGAACCTCTTGGCTTTTAGCAGTACAGTGGCCATAGTTTGGTTTGGTCTGAAATCTTAGTAGATAAGGAGAGTATCCTTATTGATGAGATAGAGGTCTCTGCAGGTCTGGCCTGGGGGCCCAGAGGGTAAGCAACAGGGAGGGCAGATGGCAAGAAGGTGGTCAGGATGCTAGATCTGAATCAGTGCTGTTGTAGGGTTTTCTTCAGATTTTACTTTAGCCCTTTCCCCTAACAAACGAAGTTAATGTGATTCTTTTATAGTTTTTTGTCATTAGATTTTTGAAAAACTTGGAGTATGCATAAGTTCAATCAAACCTCAAATCGAGTTGGGGCCACTGGCATTTATGAAAGTCTTATAGGTTCTGCTACTGTGCTGAGCACAGGAGAGAGGTTAAGAGAGGTTAAGGACAGTCCTGCCCTCGAGGTGTTCACTTTCTAATTCTGGAGAAAATATATAAATATCTAGGTTTATCAAAGACTTATACAGAGAAATAAAGTTAATATAAAAGACCAGGAAAGGCCTCCTGCCTAAGGTGGATTTTGAGCCAGTCTTGAAGGAAGCCCAGGAAGTTTAAGAGGGATGAGCGTTCCAGGCTTAGGGCACAGCCAGTGCAAAGGCTCTGAGACAGGAGGTGGAACGTTGGAAGAACTACAACAAGGCCATTGTGACTGGATTGTAGAGTGATCAGAGGGGATTGAGGAGCTTGGGTCCTTGAGGTCACAGGGGACTCAAGGCCGGTAGGAGAGGGAAGTGGTGGAGAAAGTGACCAGGTGAGACCTATGCCTGATTGAAGGATGGATTGGAGTCGGGAAGGACTTAAGGCACAGAGACCAGTTAAAACTTTATTGTTTTGGACCTGGCTTCAGGTGATGAGGGCCTTAACCTAGGGTTGTGGTTATGTAATGAAGAGATACAGGAGAGATGTTGTAAAGGTAAAAAACGACAAAATTTGGCACATTATTGAAACCAAACATTTGAGTCAGACACAGTATGTGAATATCACTGTGACGCTTAGATCCTGCTGGGGGGAGGGGGGAGTGACAATGGACTGTTTATGCCCCTTGTAAAAGTGTGACATCTAACCTTCCCCCCACCCCCAAACCTCTACTATTAAGCAGTGGCGTATCCCTCACTAGAAACTGCTGGTCTTTGGGAGGAGTGTTTGTTTAGGAATATATTTGTTAGGTCCGTGAATGGCAGAAAAGAGAAATTGGATTTGTAGAAGTTGTCTTGTCTTTGTAAGGCCAAGAAACATTTCTAAAACCAGGGGTATTTTACCCCTGGTTAGCAGACTGATTTCAAACCAGTCTTTGTAGGGGACAGTTGACTAGAAAACTGTGTTTTGCTTCCTCCTAAAACTGACATTACTATGTAGTAGAATTCAAAGACAGGGTTGTAAGTATTAATGAAAGTTCTTTGATTTTCATAAATATTAAACCTACACAGAGTTAACTCTCTTCGAACCTGACTTTTTTCTTTTGTTTGCATAAGTCAATCTTTTTCAACATTCAAGTTTACCTTTACATTGCTATTTCCAAATACAAATATAAAACCAAACTAATAATGAGGTGGGTTTTTTTTTAATGTTATTGTTCATCAGCTCCCAGAGTGTGGGAATGAAATACTCAACTGAAGAAGACAATTCAGTGCCACTTTAATTTGGTCTAAAGTTTTCATCCTCTTCAAACTGCTTTTTACAGATGCCTTTTTCTATTTTTCAAAATATGAAACTATTGTATTGTCACTGGAAAAAATGACTTAGTATATCCAGAACCACAAAACATTTTTGTCCCTAGAAACAGGCCTCTGATCAACCTTTTGCTTATCTAACATCTCTGGTATGTTACTGCTGGTGAAGTGCCAACTGGCTAGCCAAAATCCAAGGCCTGATCATGGAGACTTAGCTATATTCTTCCTCTCCATGGGATCACAGGGGTTTGGGTTTTTTGTTTGTTTTTAATTTTTTTAAATGCCAAAATTGAGGTGTTTTCCACACATATTTGTTCGAGGGTATTTTTTCTTTTAAAAGGTTATGAAGCTTTTGAGATTTTGGATTAAGAATAAAAACTTATTGAATTTTCTTTTCACT